CAATTGAAAAGCTGGACTGATTAGAAACTGCTGGGGGGGGATTGGGGCGGGGTGTATTGCTTAGTGTGAAGTTCAATCTCTGATCTCATGCTTTTCGTCTTTGCGCCATTTTACCGTGCTGAAGCACGGGAAGCCTCAATTATGTAGCAGCCAGTCATTTTACCAACTCACAGAAATGAGGGATCAAAGCTAAGAGATCGGATACTAGATTCAAAATTTTCCATAACCATGCACATACGACCACAGGGTGTGGAAAATAGGGCTTCCCGTCCGCTCAGCCGTACTCAAGCCACACGCCGGGAGGTTAGTAGTTGGGTGGGTGACCACCAGCGAATCCCTTCTGTTGTATGTTTTTGCCTTTCTTTTTCCCCGCGGAGATGCACAAGGACTATAAATGAGAACGTTAGGAATATTCAAGTTGCTTTGTCTGTCTAGTTAGTTCTAATGTTGTAGGCTGAGAAGGTAGTGCATCGGGTTGAAAATTTGATGCTCCTAGCATGCGTGAGTTATACAGTGCATGCGTCGACCTCCGCCCTCAACCATCTCGGTATTACGCACCACCTCTGCAGCTAGGCTGATGCTTTTGGTTGAATCGGTTCCGCAAATAGCGTTACACTAACTTGAAGTTCAGCCTCCGACTATAACTATATTGTGGGCTCGGGGGCCACCACCATGTCGGCTCGTCAACCATTTCTACCCGTCAGTTAGGGTTGCCGTCCGGGCGCCGCTGCGGCGACCGCCCCTCCCGCTCCCTCGGCCCTCCTTTCACTGGTAGTCTCCATATCATATTCGATCACAATGTGATCCGTCCGATGGATCTCCCACCCGGGCTTCTGTGTCGGGCCCACGCTCGGCAGGATCTCCTCCTGGCTGTCGCGGCGCATTGAGGCCATCGTGATGGCGGTCGGGTCGAGCATCGTCGACCGGCGGGAGCGCTTGTTGGAGGGCTTCGATCCATCATTCCCGTAGCCGGTGGTCTTCGGGTAGGAGCGCGGGTGGCTGTAGGAGGCAAGGGAGCGCTTGCCCAGCAGGAACTCGAGGAGGGGTTGGAGGGTGGGGATGCAGGAGGCGATGATGACGAGATCGGCTTCGACGCTTTGGGGGTTGGTGGGTTTAGTTATCGTGTGAGGATTGGGGGTTGGAATGAGACGAACTTTGTCCAGAGAACGAGGGACCAACTTGCGTCTAGGGATCTTGGGTCAGTATATCTAGTGCGAAGAGGAATTTGGATAAAGGAGCGCGACTTGTAGAAAGGGAGGGTTACAGGTTGCGTCGGAGACGTTGGCAAGGGCGTTGATGTGGGTGGTTTTGATGATGGCCGCGCAGGCGGATCTGCGGATACAGGGATTAGCAGCAGCAGGAGCAGAAGGAGGATTGAAGAGAATAGCGGGCATAGCCTACATAGCACCCATCCCCAGCGCGGCACACAACGCCAGCTTCTTATGGAGCGACATCTGCAGTTTCCAGAGAACCACGCTAGGGTAGATGGCGAGGCTGAGATCGGTGAAGGCGGAAAGCGCTATCAGCCCGTGGGGAAGTTGTCTATGTCAGTGAACAGAAGCCCTGTAACTCGATCAGGATGGCCTCACCCCCATTGAACGTCGCAAACCCAATAATCACACCGGAACTGCGACACGTTGCTCCTGGGACCGTCGCCCACAGAGCGCGCGGCGGATCGCAGGAGGTAAAAAAGATGATGATATTGGTAACGGCGACGGCCATCACCAGCCCAGTCAAACCCCATAGCGCGCACTGCATACGGAAGCCTGGGACCAAGATGCGGTGAAGCAGGGCGGCTACCCCCATCTTGGGGAAGGCAAAGGAGAGGATGCCGAAGATCCAGCCGATGTCGATAGTCATGTTCGCGCGCTCAGTCGCGGCGTGGCCAATCGTAGAGGAGTGTCTCCCAAAGCCACGGTGGACAGCGACCGTAGCAATACTTACGTTGACTAACCCTAAGATCTGAGATTGGTAAGGGGTCAGATGCGAACTGACATCTGCACCACGGGAGTCCAAGAGGAACTCACCATCGAAATGGCAATGAGTCGATCATCCAGCCCAAAGGCACGCACAATCTTGAGTCGAATAAACAATCGGGCCCATACCAGCACGGTCGCGAGGCCAGTCAGTGCCCACATCACGGCCAGCAGAACTGGACCCTTGTTCTGCTGGTCATATGCCGGAGTTCCCGCCATGGTGGGGAGGCGAGACTGCCCCAGGTAGCCGTGGAAAGAATTTCAAAGGAGAGTAGGGAGAGAGGAAAGGGACAGGAGGGAGAAAGCGGCAGCAGGCAGCTTTTTTTCAAGAGTATCCGTGTAAAGGCATGTGGCTTCATAGCCCGGTTCGGTGCTATAGTGGCATCAATTATAGGCAGTGCCTCCGAATTTGCTTACGCCGCAGTACATGGATCTTGATTAAACGGGTGCGTCGCCTTTTTAATTTTTTTCTTTTCCCAGACAATAAGCACGAGATGATTCGTGTGGCTGGCGGCGGAACTAATTCGGAGGGGAAACCACGCAACCAGCGCCATTTAGTGCAATGGACGCTAAGGAAGAAGGGATGGTTTTAGCTTGATTGCTTGCTGGCTGTCAGTTTCCAGGCTATACTATCCTCCCTTCCCTTGCAGCAAATGCCCGTGACAGGTGCTCGTGGGTGTACTGTACTGTATACCATCAGCATGCAGTGCGATTTGTGCTCTGAAAAGTGAGGAGCCATTATGGGCTACGGGCCGGAATTGTGGAACGTGCCGCGGCCCTTCCGACCCGGAGGCAGCGGCCATGCGGCCATTGAAGGGTCGGCCATCCCGGAAGATCAATCCGGAATCCGGACTCTCCGGCAGTGGGCCCGAGTGGAGCGCCATATGAGACAATATTTGCCCTACATCCAATCGGGCTTTACAGCCCGCACTGTCACGGTCTACTAGTTCATCTGTCAATATACTCAAGTAGACTCAAGCCGGCTAGACCAGGAGTCTTTGGTCTTCCGCCTTGAGAAAGAATTGGAGCAAGGCACGGGAGCCCCTCAGAGACTGTTATTGATCTCCCTGCGGTGGGAAGGGAGATTAAAATGCCTCCCTCCATCCTTCCTTGTGATTCCTCCCTACCTAGGTACTGTACTCTATCTTCGCCCTTCTTTCCTCCCTAATTTTGCCATGGTCGAATCCAACGGACTTCCTGTGCCGGCCACAGTGACCAATGGTGTCGATGTCGATCGCATCGCTGTCAGCCCCATGGCCCCTGAAAAGGTTGCCAGTCTGGCCCAAAAGATCGAGTTGCTGAGCAAAGCCTTCACGTCTGGCCAGCCCGACGCGCGACTCCAGCTAATGGAAGCCGCCGATGCCCTTCTAGCAGCCGTCGAGACGCCGCGCGAGACCATTTTCCGATACTGCTGGCGCAACGTGAGTCCGCTTGCCCCCCCCCCCTCCCAAAAGCGCCCGTACATTCTGCCCTCAAACAAGCTGACGGGTAGTCCACTAGACTACCGGCTTTGCCGTGATCGAGACAGCCATCGACCTCGGGATCTTCCGATATCTGTCGAACAATGACCGACCGATGTCCGTGGCCGAACTGGCGACAGCCACCGGCGCTGACATCGTCCTGCTAAGTAGGCGCCTACTCCCCAATTTACCTCTTCCGTACCACTAATCCTTTGTCGCCATCTCCCCTAGAACGAATCATGAAACAACTCAACGCCATCCACGCTGTCACCGAAACCGGTAAGGATGAATACACCAGCAACAACTTTTCGCGCACGCTCGCCCACACCCGCTACGCCGATGCCTTTCCCGTGATGTATGCTTTCCCCCCAGAATCTTTCCTCCCATTACCTGGGGTCTCCAAAGACGCCCCCAACTAACCCGAAGCCTGTAGAACGCGGACCACCGGGCGTGCCATCACCGCGATCCCGGAGTTCCTCCGTAAAACGGGCTATCGCGACCCGGCCAACGGCCTCGACTGCCCCTTCCAACTCGGCTACAAGACCCAGTCCGCTTTCTTCGACTTCGTGGGCCAGGACCCGGTAATCAGCGCCCAATTCAACAATCTCATGTCCATCTACCACCAAGGCCGCGCCAGCTGGATGGACCCGGGCTTCTACCCGGTTGAGCAGCGCCTCCTGGTCGACACGACGACGACGACAGACCCCGCCGACAGGATCCTGCTGGTAGACGTAGGCGGCGGCAAGGGCCACGACCTGGCCGAGTTCCGCGCCAAGTGGCCCAACACCCCGGGACGGTTGATCCTGCAGGACCAGCCCGCCGTCCTGGCCGAGGTGGTGGGAAGCCAGCTGCACGAGTCGATCGAGTGCATGCCGCATGACTTCTTCACCGAGCAGCCTTGTAAAGGTACCTCCCCTTTCCCCCTCCCCTTGTTCCTCTATTAAAACACAAGGGGGAAAAAAAAGTCGAAAGAAAAGCAGAAACTAACACCGAATCAACCAAACCAGGAGCAAGAGCCTACTTCCTCCACTCGGTGCTGCACGACTGGCCCGACGCGATCTGCCAGAAGATCCTGGCCCCGCTGCGCGCCGCCATGACCCCCGGGTACAGCCGGCTGCTGATCAACGAGAACGTGATCCCGGACCGCGGCGCGCAGTGGCAGGCGATGGGGCTGGACTTCGTCATGCTGGCGGACTTTGCGGGCGCGGAGCGCACCGAGTCCCAGTGGACGCGCCTCCTGCACGAGGCCGGGTTCCGCATCCTGCGCATCTGGGCGGCGGATCGGTGGTCGGAGAGCTTGATCGAGTGTGAGGTGGTGGCTGGGGCTGGGGCTGGGGCTGGGGCTGGGGCATGAGTGGCTGCTTAGTTGATCGATTTCCGGGATATTGAAGTTTGAGCTTGTTTCGTTGGGGCGGGTTCCCCCTTTTTTTTTCCTTCTTGGTCCCTATTCTATCTATATTTATTCATTCTTCGAGTAAGAGCGAGTTGCGTCTGTGTGCGGTCTTTCTTTCTTTTTGGTTTGATCAATTACGAGGGCAGTTGAGGGTGAACCTTACGAAACTGCGGTATCCCCTCGAATGTTACATGGGGTTTGTACTGGATGGTAGTTGCGATGCTGTCCCGATGTTTCGAACTTAGCCCTAAGAGACGCGGCCGGATGCGCCCCGATGAGCAGGAATGGGCATGATTTGACCGCTGTTCAACTGCATTGTCGGCATTTGAAGTATTCAAAGAAGAGATTTCTCTCGATCTCATCTGTGACCGCGCTCGACAACGTACATGATCAGGCATGGCCGGAGTAATCACCTGCTAGGGCTGGGTAGGGACCCCCCGCCTAAGTTTCCACCGAAGAGGATGGGGGTTCACAGCCTTACGAATGTGGGTCGAACGATCCGCGACTGTCCAATGACAGGCAGAATGAAACCCTCAAACTGAGCCCAGAATGCAACTACTCGGTAAGGGGAGGCGTTTACCGGCAATCAAGAGCCATACTAATCTATTCGAGTCGTGGCGATCTGTTTTGGGATACCATATTCACGAGGAAGAGACTAGAGACTACCCTACTGACTTGATGGCGAGCTAGAACTCCCCAGGCTTGTATTGGTCGAGGCCACTACGGGACCGTGCTCGTAACACTTTTAGCCAGTCTACAACGCCGACCCCAACCCAATACCAAAGGGTAAGTTAAGTCGTCGTACTCATGTGATTATACATACAAAGACCTGACCTTTCGATTCGGATATCATCCGGCCGTTCTCAGGCAGTTTACCTGGTTGGCTCCCGCTCTCAAGTGGAGCATCTAGATGATGCATTTCACCTGGCTATCTTTCGGTATGCACCCAGTGGAGGATATGAACTTAGCAATGAATTCCCTTCGTACTAAGAACGGCAAAATGAGCTTCATATTTTTCTTACTGCGCTTTAAAAGCACATACGACCACAGGGTGTGGAAAACAGGGCTTCCCGTCCGCTCAGCCGTACTTAAGCCACACGCCGGGAGGTTAGTAGTTGGGTGGGTGACCACCAGCGAATCCCTTCTGTTGTATGTTTTTTTGCTTCTCAATGTGGAGGTATCCGGATCAACGGTGATGGGAATCTCAAATGGTTGATGATCTAGTTCTTTATTGTAGCGTAGGAAGAACAGTGTCCATTCAATGGGACTGACGGAGCAGGTTTCCGTTCCGGTAGAACACGAAATGTTCGTTTGCTAAGTCGCTTTCGTATTCCTAACATGTCTTACAGTAATCATTTCACGAGAGAAAAATTGCGAAGAGAATCGGCCAGTCAATCCCCAGCTACTTCATCCTGGCAATAAGTCTAAAAGCCCCACTGATTCAACCAATTGGCCATCTGAGCCGGTGACACTGGACCGAGTGATGCCATCGTCTCACTCCCCTTCCTCGACCGCTCGACGCTGATGTCCGCCGACAAGACATCCGCATTGTCCGCCAGGCCACGGAAGAAGGCCAGGAGCTTCAGCGCGGGTTTGTCTTGCACGTCGCCATCTGATGGATCCTGGATGGTCTCCAGGTCGGCGACCCAGTCGACGAGAGGCACGGGCTGGACGGGGTATCTTTCTTGAATTGCCGGGACGAGAGAAGCCCAGGTGGTGCGGGATGGATTGACCAGATGGAAGACGGCGTTGCGGGTTTCCGCGAGCGAAGCGCGGCGGCCGAGGACGAGTTCGTTCACGATCTTCGCTAGGATATCCTGAAGCGATTGTGTCAGTAACAGTCCCCACTGCTTGGATACAGTGGAAAACGAGAGAGTCAGGTGCGTACCACTGAAACCCAGTCGATCGGGTAACCCCCGAGATCAAATGGCACTTTGCCCGTCGCCTTGGATGTCTTGATCAAGGAAGGGACCCACTCGTGCGGATTCCACACTCCCAGTCGCGTGTCGGGCCCAGCGATCTGTCCCACGCGCAGGATACTGGTCGGCACGCCGGCCTTCTTCGACGCCTCCACGCAGATGCTTTCCCCGATATACTTGGACTCGCCGTATCCCTGCTCCAGCGTGGCGTCCGCCGTCTCCATCGGCACCTCGGGGACGGCCGTGACCCCACCACTGGGCTTCCAGGCCCCGATCGTGCTGACGGAGGAGACGAAAGCGAGATGGGCCCGGTAGCGGCTCTCCTGGCTGAAGCGCACGAACTCCCGGACGCCCTTGAGATGCGGGTCCTCGAAGGAGGACACGGGGTGGTTGAAGTTGACCTTCCATGCATTGTGGATGATCACGTCAACCGTATTGAGGAGCTCGTTGTATTGTCGGTCGGAGAGACCGAAGTGGGGTTCTCCGAACTGAACGTGCAGGAACTCGACCTTGTTGGGATCATTCAGAGAAGCGATCTGTAGTCCCTTTTCCTGGAAGCCTTCCATTTGACGCGTCAGCGAACCTTCACTCCGGTTGAAACAGTAGACCTTGGCCACCTGGGGGTTGCGCAGTAGGTCGTCAAGAATATAGCTGCCCAACGATCCGGTGGATCCGGTCAGAACGACAGTGACCAGCGCGGGCAGCTGAGGGAGGGCATCAGACTCCCGAACATGAGGATCATTCGTATACTTGGCGATCAACTGCGCAATCTTAACAGAACGAGAAACGGTGGCGATTTGAGTCGATGGTTTGTCAAGGACGCCCAACAGAAGATTAGTGAGTCCCTCTGCAGTGGGGTGCGCATAGATTTCCTGAACATTGAGAAGGTCGGTGTTCAATTCCGGATTATGGGAGGAGACCGAGTTCTTGAGGATCTTGCTCAGCTGGATCGCCTGAAGTGAGTCCAGGCCCATACTATAGAGATCATCACTAGCTTCGATGTTCTGCCTTCCAGTAAGTTTGCAGATGACGCTCTGCAGATACCCGCAGACAGTGTCCGGGTTGATCGTTGATGGCAGGTCCATCACCAGTTGCTTATCTTGGGCCGCGTAGATCTCTTCGATCTCCTCGGCATAATCTTTGTTCACGGCATGTCGTTGTGTTGTACCTTTGGCGGTAAGTTTGAAGGGCTTCTCGCGTGATGAGAGGCGAATCATGCTTTTCACGATCTGGCCGTAATCGGGAACAGTCGCGTTAGCTTCTCGTACCACTGGCCAAATCATGTTGACAAACTCCTTTTCCTCGATTGGAGTGGCAACCTTGTCAAAATCCGGCTCAATCAACAGGCATGTCTGAAATCTGCGTTGGCCGATAAGCAAAGCCCGATGAACCGAAGGGTGGCCCTCCACGATCTTCTCCAATGAGATCGGATTCAACTTCTCGCCGTTGCTGAGCACAATTACATCGTCAAAGCGCCCATGATACTTCCAGAGCTTGGGGTTGGTTGGATGCCGCGTGTAAAGATCTTTGGATCGATACTCTTTCAGCTCCGGGAACGTGTGAAAGATTCCATGCATCACGAGAGAATGTTCCACCCGTGGTATGACTAGCTCGTATAATCCGTCCCCGATCGACTGCATGTCAACCTGATAGAAGGAATTCCACTCGAAATATCCCCAGGTGTCCTCTCCTTCGGGGACCATGGAGCAGATGATGCCCATCTCGCTGGAACCAATGGCCGATCGTAACTGGGTGTATCGAACCAGCTTCTCGCCGACTTCGGGTGAAAGAGGAGCCCCACCATAGCAAACAAACTTCAAAGTGCTGAGGCATGCAAGAGCCTCGTCAGAATAACTCATGTCTTCAAGGATCGAAGGTGGAAGAATCGTGACTGTCGGCTTCGTATGGCGAATCAGATCGGTCAGGAACCCCACGGAAAGTAGCCTTTCCGGGCTAGCAACGAATGGAATGTTGTGAAAAATGGATTCAAAGAACGAGGTCAGCCCCATTAAGTGGAAATACGGCGTGGACGAAAGAACAAGTTCCTTGTGGTTGGGGTCACCGGAGGACAGGTCATTGAAGAATGCGGAAGACCGTCCCGGAGGCAAAGGGATCAATGCGGCGAAGTCCATCGTACCCAGGAAGCCATGGGTGAGAGGAACAGGTTTAGGCATGCCTGCTGAAAGTGTTAGCCCTATAATCCATCCGGATCAGGCGCTTCAGATGTACTGTACCGGTTGTTCCAGAACTATGGATTATGAAAGCAATCTTGTCCACCACCTCATCATAGGTCTGGGAGAACTCGAAGTGATTCGTGCCACTTCCATTGTTGAGGATGTCCGCCACAGATGGCACCTCTTGGAACTTCATCTTCCAGTCCAAGGTTCTCAGCCTGGAAGCAATCTTGAACTTCTCTTGGCTGAAAAGCAGATGCGTGCACTTTGTTTCCTTGAGAACATGGTTGTATGCCTCATCCGACAGCCGAGTGGAGGGTAGAAAGATCTATAAGCAGATTCAAGTATTAGTGATTAATCGCAATCCCTTCGTAAAAATAGCACCAGAGAAAACAAACCGTATAGCCTGTCTTATGACACGCGAGCATAAAGATGATGTAGCGCACATCATTGTTCCCCAGATATGCAATCCTTTCTCCCGGTTGCGGTCTGCCCAGAGTGTCGTCAATCCACCAGGACATGGCATTGACTGCGCGGGAGAGATCCCGGAACGTCATATCCCGAAAGCCCTGCTCGACTTCGGTGCCATTGGGGATCAGGCCAAATCGTCTGGTCGGAGAATGCTTTGTGATGGTATCGACTTGGGTTACGAGAAGCCTTCCTGGGGCTTTGAACGATCCCGGTGCTGGATTGGCGACTCCGACCATGGTCACTTAACACGGGCGTTTGTTTGAAGAAGGGCACTTTGTGCTTGGATGCAGGAGTGGGAGAAAAAGGTCTTTATTGAATGACTAGATAAAACCGATTCCTGTGGCCCTGCCATCTTTAAATAATTTGAGGGGACGGACGCTGTGTAAAGACGGGCGAGATGAGGCTTTTTCCCCGTTTCGCCATCCTGTATGCTGCTTTCATCCCTCACAGCGCATTGTTGTGATTCACCCGTGCAGATCATGGTTGCATTCACATATAGTCGGTGACGGAGACTTAGGATGAAGCGGTTATACACAGGATCGGGTGCATAAAAGTTCCATCGGTATAAGTGGGTCGGCTAATACTGCCGAGCCAGGGTACGTGGAGATCGCCTTGTACACCCAATGCAGTGCATATCTATGCTCAATAGAATCCTGAGACAAGGTGCGAATACGTCACCCGGCCTGAAGATCAGTGCCCAATACGGATAACACTGCAGGAACAAGCTCTTATGGAAAACAGTCTACATTCCACTGGAGCTTCACGACTGATTGGTGCAGCAACCGAGGATGCGTACTAGTAATGCTTGAATATTCCTTCATACTCTACTGCCTGGCCTACATATGCCCAACA